TGGGGTGCCTCGGAAAATCCACGTCGATCAAAGAACAAAATTAATGTGGAAGGACATTAAAATATTTTGTAATAACGAAAGATTAGAGGTTGTACAGTAGCCGGTTAATGATCACCAAGCAACAGGTTGTGTTGAGAGAACGATCGGAAGCTTGAAAAATTCATATTAATCACATACGCACAGGAGGATCGGTCAGAACCCTTGGAGAAAATGGTGGAAAGAGCCCTCGGCGCTTTGCGGTTTTCACCAAACGCTGCTCTAAAACTACCGCCATTTGAAGCCCATCACGGCAGAGAAGCCAACACTGTACTCCAAAACTCAATAAAAAATGTCTTTTAGTAAATGAACTGGTCTAATGCACTAAAGTTCAAGTATGCTTGTTTAGATGAACAAGATCCTGAGGCCCAAAGAATGCCAAACCCGGCGGGCACAAACTGGAGAGTGATATCTGGCTCTCAATATGTGGGAAAGACATCTCAAAACCACCCATTAAAACTCACTGACGACCAAGCGACCAGTCAGGCGGATCTGCCGACGGCATTCTCATTCCAAGGGCCAAGTTTCGAAGCCTGTCCATCTCGAATGGTCTTTCAACGTACAGTGATTAGAAGCGTGAACAGGTTAAATAGAAGCTGAAAGCGCCCATACAGTACAAACAAGTAATGGTAGCATGCTTAGGAAATCCGGAGTTGCGATAAGGAAGTCAAAAACCCCAAAAAAAACTAGTACCCGCGGGGCTACCGAAACCACCAACGCCCGCGGGGTTACGGAAGAAACTGAAGCGACGAGCGAGGCTCTTCCCGTAAACAGAAACAGTAAGCAAGAGCGGCAGGCCGAATCAGAGGATTCTGAATCGGACAGCGATGGGCAACCGTTGACGTCTAGGCGGATCAAGGGAAAATCGCAGTTGACAACGTTACCAGAAGGGCAGTACCAATCAGTACCCAAGCAAAAAGGGACAGAGCAGGCGGTTACCGAGTCAGTAGCCACCAAAAATGATGCCACAGTAAGCGCGGCGGGCACAACTGTGGCGAATGAGCAGACTGGCGGGGCAATAAGACGCAAGAAAAAACACGAAAGAGGACGGACGGAAATGGAGCGAAAGATTTAGGAACGAAGGATCTGAAGGAAGCTCCGGGGGCGGCATGACGGCAAACGACACGAAGAAGCGTGCGAAGAAGCAAGGACTCGTGTTTAATTCGAGGCAAGATTTGGGAAGCGATACGGGATCAAATCGTAGCAACCGAAAGCGAACGGGCCACATTTCACGAGGCCAGGCAGAGGGGACGAAAAGGAGGGGAAATAAAGGAGTGCAAATCTATCATAAAAGGGAGAGAAAAAGCCGACGGAAAGTCGTAAAAATGTTCGAAAAAAACTTGCTAAAACTCTTGGGGTAAACCCCGGGCAAAATTTTACTTAACATTAAACACTTACATAGCCCAAAATCTAGTACGTAACCGTTATCATTATAAATCTCAATTCAGCAATTTCAGTTTGTGCCTTCGGCCAAGCCCAGCTTAGTGATTCAAAACTCTAAAACTAGTATTTAAATTTTACTTCAATTATAAACTCATTGCAGTTCATTTATTTTCACAAGAGGAAATGTCATAGTGTTAAATTAGTCATTTGAGTTGTTATTTAGTTCTTGCTAGTTTTTTTTTGTCAATCATTTCAGTTCTTTCTGTTGCTCGGCGTCATTGACAGGTATTTGGCCTTTGGAGCGACTGACACCTTCGGATGACCTCTGAAACATTATCTTTGTTATCTAGGTTACTGTTAAGTTGCTTATACAAACGGATTTAATTCAAATATCGAATAGGCTTTTTCAACATGGCGCAGCAAGCAGGTCCAAGTAGCGGGAAGAATATACTTGAAATCACATCTTTTTTGGCCGCTTAAATATGCAGAACCGCCGACTTCATGGAAATTTTGGGTGAATCGTTTCCAGTGGGGAATGGTTGCAAAACTTTCAATAAATCCGGCGATTTTTCACTTCGCTAGTACGCTGGACGCCACAAAAATAGCTGCATTGTCGGAGAACGTTGATTGTCTGAGTCGGAGCAGACTCTAATATCAAATCTGCACCTGTGCCTAGAGACGAAAGAACAGACGAATTTCACAAAAGAAAACCACACCTGGACTTGGGGGCCTGACGTTATCCAAGGGCGCTCGACGCAATGGAAGGGGAGTTGAAGAAGGAACGCAACGGAACATACGAAAATTTTCAGCTACTTTCAAGGAAACAGCGGGTTGGGGAGTTTCACGCGGTGCTCAGTGGATTTTACAACCTCGGACTCCAGATAAAAAATTCAGATAATTCGACAACCCCAAAAATTGATCATCCAATCAGTAAAAAAAACAAGTTGAAACCTATTTCATAAACAGAGGGCAAGAGTTGGTAAATCGTCTTCCTCAGAATTTGATTTCAAGAGCGGATTTCCACAAGTTTAAGTACTAGGTCTTTTGTGCTTCGTAATCTTATTAACGATCTCCCGTATTGTATTACGTCACAGTATTTTCGATCACTCAGCAATTTCATGCGGCCAAAAAAGGAAATTAGCAGCCAGATTTTGATGACAATGAATATTAAATGTAAAGTTCTGAACCTGAAAGAAAACGCAAGCATCTAAATTAAAGGATGAACACTCGAACAAGTATAAAAGAAACAGGACCTCGGTATAACTGTTTCTAAGGATTTTTCTGGTCAGCAAACGCGGATACAAGATGTTAGAAAACTGTTACAGCATTTGTTACTATGAAATGAAGTATTGCAAACAATACAAGCAAAACCAATGCCAAAAAGAATCTCTACATCGTCCCAATCATCTCAGACGGTTAAACTTACAATATTCGCCAGTAAATGAGACTTGAAGATGATCGAAAATATTCAGGAGGAAGCTTCTAAGTGGATCCTTGGCACTAACTTTTGGATTATTAAGAGGGTGAAGACTTAAATTTTTACCACTTTCCTTGTATCATGAAATACATGTTCAAATAATGTTTGTCAAATATAATTAAAGGCAGATTTAACATCGACTGGAATCTTCCATTCAAAGCCAATGCAAGTCGAAACAAAACACAAGAGCGCAACAATTGAAGTTATTTGAAACGCAAAGTTTGTCAAAGCAAAAACAAGACAGTGAGTTCAGGACAAGAGTTGGATTCTTAGCAAATGCAGGAGGAAAAAACATTGGGTTCAATCTTGACGAAAATGAACATTCAAAGAATCTATTTGCTGAAGTGCACAAAAACTTTTCGTGAAATAAATTTAATCTTCAAGACATTTGCTCATGGAGACTTACATGAAACTTTCAAAACTGTGGAAACCAACATAAACTCATGTGATTTTTGGTAAAACTGGAACTCGGGGAAAAAAACCGCCCTTGGGTGTTACCTTGAATTCTGTTTTTTGTATTATCATAATTTTAGCAAAATTGTATTTATGAGGCGTAAAATTGAGAAAAAAGAGTAGCTATATCCACCATTTATAGATTGAAATTGGTTTGCTTTCCAAAGGACAGATTTGTCTTCAACGAATCATTGTCTTTCCGATAAGTCGAAATTAAGTTAGAATTAGTGAGAATAATGACTCTGATTCTGTTTATATACCTTTTCAAAAAGCTGCCAATTAATTTATAAATAAATTGAAGAAAAGCAAGGATTGAACGCGACTCACACCCTTAGCCTATGATCTGAAGATGATCAAATCTGAAATCAAGCCTGAAAGATGTTGTGGTTCAAACATAGTATGTTTTTCTTACAAAATTTGAAAATTGTTAGAAAAAAGCCTGATTCCCAATTACAATAAGACTTGATCTTGCAAGCTAATGAAACGAAGTCGAGACGCGCAAAAGCTACTTGAGCATAATTAAGGAAAAGAATTTCAGAATTAACATTACCTATATAAGTGCCTTCAGTACGTGCATTGACACAATAACAGATTATTAACAACCGCAAACCCCTTCAAACCCTGTTTCTAGAAATTATTACAATTAATGCCCCATCAAACAAGTAAAAAATTCATTGCACAGAGTAGCTGCGCTTCGCAAACATTAGCTAGAACACAACAAAAAGCAGCTCTACTAAGTGAATTTAGAAAAAGTAGAAATAAACCTCGAATTAGCAAAAACTTGGCAGTGTCGTATTCAAATCTGCGACCTAGCAAACTTGAGTCTCAAGCACTAACCACGGATGCTTAGAATCCGCAAAAGCTAGCCACCAATAAAGCAGCTACTTATGCTAGTTAATTGCAATTCGATGCAGCAATTGTAGCATCAAATACAAGGAGACACAATTTTGCATGTAATAAATTTGAAAGCATAAACCACCAAAAGTAGCATTTTTATTTGCGATGTATGTTGAAGAAAAAACGAAAGTTCGTACCCACACATTTGGCCTCGCAAGTGTAATCAGCTTTGACTTAAATGCGGAAACGTTGACCTTCCAATCTTCTTTAGAGCTCAAAATCAAGTTTTTTCTTGTTTTAATTTACTACATTATTATTTTCCGTGTATAAGCTTCTCTCTGGAATGACCAAAAGTTAAGTGGAAATTATAGAACAGAGCAAACAGACAGTTTGAAAAGAGTCAAGGAATGCAAGTAAACAAATGCTGACGTTTTTTGTCTGAAAAATGTTCGAATTTCCAAAAAAAAATAGATGGCCGTAAGCCTCTTTGAAATTTTCGAACAATTTATGATTGCCAATTTTCATTAAACTAATCCAATGTGAAAACAACTGGATCAATATGTAGCATTTTTATTTCGCTTGGAAATTTGGTAATTGAAACCCGTTTTCGAAGTTAGAAGTCGATCATGTTTTTCGTGATCTTTACACTTTTTCTGTTTGAAAGTGGAGTTTGCCTGAACTACGTTTATCGACTATTATTTATTTACAATGAAGATACAGCTAACGAGATCTGTTAAACCATATATTTCATTGAACGATACTGCCAAATATTCACACTCACTTGTTAAGTAGCCCATGATTTTTTCTCAATAACTTTTCTCATTCAAATTAAATTTAAAAAGAAAGAGTTAATTATGCAGTAAGCTAAAATCTAAATGTGAAGTTTATTCTATACCGACAATTAACCATCGTAATTGCAGCATTGTTGATGCACTGGTGCTAAGTACTATATTCTCATTCACATTTCAAAATTGATATTATTCACAGTTTTATGGAAAAAAAAGTTCCAATGTAGCACCTTTTCCTTTGAACCCAAAAACACTCACAAGTCATAAGCGTTACATCAGACGTACTTCACAATTATGGAATGAACTAAATCTACAAAAAAATAAAACATCATACTGTCCATGCGATTCTTCTTGCTTATCAAGCCAATTTTCATGGTTTACTTCCATTTATTCCAGATTTAGGACAGCAAGTTTGTTTTCATCAGCTAACATTAAAATCAACTACACCCTTTAAAAACGAGTAAAATTACATTGCTTTCGCCCACAAAATATCCACAGTTTCCAATTTATACAGTCAATTGGATAAATAAACTTCAAATTTTGTTAATTGAAACTAAAGCATAAAAACTTATTATCATTTTCAGTTCAAACAAATGAGGTTTTTCTTTCATAAATTTTTCCGCTGCTTGCTGTATTTAGTATCTGCATAGAACGCGGAAATGGCGATAACTAAATTTGTTAAAGAATATGGAAATTATGTTAATTCAACATATGTTAACCTAAACTAATGAATTGGAGTTCAAAATGACTTTTATTTCGACTCAAAAATCGAGCTTTTTTTGTGATGATATTCTCGCTTGTTGAAAAGCTTCTGTTTGTTTGTTTTTGTTCTTATTTGCATTTCTGTTCAGTTATCCTAAATCGCAGCAGGAGCGGGTATGTGCCGTGCATTTTACATGTCTCCCAGTTCGGCCAAGTGTGCGTTGACGTGATTGGTCAGATCTTTCTCGCCTTTTCGTGACTTGGGAAATCTCATTGAGCAGAAGGGACAACTGGGTCCATAGTGTTCCTCCATGTGTGAGTTGAACAACTCCGCACTCACCTATAAAACGAGCTAGGTAAGTATTTACGACGACAGGACATTGTTAGGACAACATGACATTTAGACGACAAGACATTCAGACGACAAGACATTTAGACGGCACGAGTAGTAGTTCTTTGGGTAGCTAATCCCCTGAGAGGGGGGGTGAGCAGGATACAGATTCGAGCAAAATGTTCTAGATTAATCTGAAAGTTCTGAAACAATCTAGAACAATTAATGAACATTTTGAAACGTTCTAGAACATTTTACTCCTGCTCGAATCGGTATCCTGCTCAACCCCCAGAGGATTAGGTGCCCAAAGAACTAGTACTGACATGACATTTAGACGACATGACAAGTTTGCCAAAAAAAATAATTCTCAAGCTATTGAAAACTCGATTCAGGTGCGAGAAATTTTGAGTTTTCTAACCAGATTCTAACATTGAGTACCTATCCATTTTGATTGTGGTAATCTGTTAGTCTAAGGTGAGTTTTTGTGCGCAGTATCATGAAAAAAAACTGAAAAATTGAAGTTACAGCAACAAATAAAAATGTCAAGACGGTAGCTTTTCAGAAATGAAAGAAGTGTTTTTGGTTTCATTTGAACCAGAAAACGTTTTCAAATGGAATGAAAAATTATCTCAATCAAAGCTAAATTAATAGGTACCACTCTAAAAAAATGAAAATGATTTTGATGCATTAATTCAATTTTTTTTACTAGCTAGTTGCGTTACTTTGTTTCTCCAGTATACATGAGTGTCTTCACTAGGTTCATTGATACTCAAAAATATTATTTAACAATTTTGAGCATTGTTTAGACTGATTGATACACCCATCAATTCTAGTTCAAAGTGCTAAAAGTTTTGCTAAAATTATAACGACCATATATATGATTGTTTATCTAACGACTTCGTCAAGGTCAACTGTTTCGATTTTTTTGAAAACCCAATCACTTACGTCGCATTTTAAGCACTTACGTCTCTCGAGAAAGTCTTATCACACAGTAAACACTTGTTCTCTTCCTTGGCAGCAGGAGCCTCTTCGTCGTCCTCAAATTTAGATGCAACTCTTGCAGTCTCTCCTTCCGCCCCTGGCTTCATAGACTCAATAAGATCCTCGACATTGCCCGAGTCAGCTCTAAAACATCCTCAATATTGTTATTCATGTTATTGCGCAATCGATATCATATATATCGAAATACGTTGCCCATGATTTATGGCCCAATGAATAAACTTTTCTTTGGCTCTAAATTGTCTACTTTCTTGGACTAAAAAAACTTCAGGTTCGTCTGACCATACATAGCGCGAGGCGACATTTCATAACAGGCAATAATTCGATACAAGTGTCGAGTCGTAAACTTTTGATTGGCGACAATTCGCAACAAGCCACAATTCGTAACACTTAATTGCTGATGAGGGACTAAAATTTTGTAGTCCACTTAATAATTGCATCAACTTGCTTTATGAACGTTTTAGTTTGGTTATAATTAATAGAGTAAATTGAAGCTATTAGCACTTATAAACCTGGACCTTTTACCTTGATTGTGACCATTCTTTCTCATTCCTAATTTAAATTCAATCGTTCATCTATCAATTTGATGCATATAATTTCGCCTGACAATTCCTCTAGATTACACCATCAGCGAAAACGGCAAGCATTAATATCTTCTGGAGGAAGAAAAACTTTACCAAGATCGACACATGTTACTTGCCAGACAACATGGCGACGCATTAAACGCCCCTGCAAATCGTCCATTATAACATTCGATGGCTAATTTGTTGGTGAAAAAAGGAACATGGCCACAAAAACATTACAAATGAGCCAAAAAACTTTGTCAACAAATTTTTGCTTTTTGCATGTACCGGGATAAAAAGGAATTATTATTAGTTCAATTTGAGGTTAAATTTAACGTACAAACAGCATTAACAGAGGGCGTGAGTTTCTGTGGGGACTAGGGGATTTTTTAAAACCAAATTAAAGCTCTTAATAAACAAACCTTATGTTTTTAAACACTGTTTTTTATGGGGGATTCAGAGTTTAACCCGACTGCTTAAAACAGTTGATTGTAGAGTCAAACGTGCTATCGAAGCAACTTAAGCAGTTTGCTAGGTAAGCCTCCAAAGACACGGCGGCAAACTCGCCAAAATATACATCACCAGCCTGAACGATTCAGCGACAAAGATTCCTCGAATCAGCACCAGCTGCTCTTAAGAACACCAGCTGCTCTTAAGAACAAGACGCATGACATTTACGAAAAAACTTACTGTCATGCCCCACGCTCTTCTATAAATATTTACCAGACACTTCAGCAGACGAACCGACAGTTCCAATGTTTAACTTTCTTTAAATACGAAAAACTGAAGCGCAATGTCTGCGAGCTTTTGAAGAGCTGAAACATCTAAACCCCTGCCTGGAGCCCACCAAAAATCTTCTTTATTTCGAAAAAGCGTCGATCAATGCCTTTCGAACAACCTTTCCACAAGCCATTATCAAAGGCCGCTTTCTTCGCTGAAAGATGAAAATTAGTCCAAAGTCTCGCACAAATCGCCAAGCAGATTCAATTCGCTAGAGATCAAAAGCGAAATACCAAAAATTCAGTGAAAGGCTATCAGACCCAGCTATCAAAAAATTCAACAAAATTATTCAGCGATTAAAATGTTTGGCTGAGAAAAAACTCGAGAGAATAAGATCAGGAGAGAATGCATCAAAGACTGCGAAGAACGAGAAAGTGCAGCGATACTACATAACTATCAGAACAACCAATTAAGTTATATTCCACAGTTATATTCCAAAGTTGATTTTTGATTCTTTGCTTTCTTTAAGATAACTTAGATTTCTTTTGTTTTAATTGTTGAACTTCAAATAAAACATTGAAACGAATTGTCGCATGATACTAGCGAGAATAACAAAAAGCAGCTCTATAAAGCGCAATAAGAAAAGGTAGATATCAGTCTCGAACTAGTAAAAATTCGGCTACGTCTCGGATCGATCTCCGACCACTCATAGCAGAGATTATAAGCCTGATGCACTAGCCACTCACGCTTAAAAAACCACAAACACTAGCCACAAAAAAAAGCAGATGGTATCAAATTTCCGATGCCACAGATCGAGATTATAGCAGCAGTGCCAACAAATAAGAACACTTTTAATGAACACTTTTACTTGCGAGTTAGGTTAGAAAAAGTTAAGATTCGTACTACTAGACTACGCTGCTGGCAAATGCAATTATTCGCAACACAGCCAACTGACAGTTGGAAAAGAGTAATGAACGCAAAGAAACTAACTTGTTTTTTCAAAAATCTTCAACTTTTGAATTTGTACGAAAAAAAATAGATGGGCTGCTTGAATTAGTAGAACAATCGAATTTGTAGAAGAATTGTAGAACAAAGCTCTTTGAATTTGTAGAACAATGTAAGATTGACACATTTTTGTTTGAATTAACCCAATTTGAGAAAACTGGACCCTTAGTTTAAAGTTTTATTCCGCTGAAAAACCTGCTAATTAACTTGCATTTTCGCAATTACCAGTCCAAGTTTTTCGTGACCTTTACACTTTTGCTGTTCGATAGTGGAGTTTGCCTTCCTTTTAACAAAGAAAATGCACTGAAATTTTAAAAATCGCAGGTCAAACCGCGAGAACTCAAAATTGAGCGTAAAAAAAACACAAAAATCACCAATTCATATCGAAAAAAAAATCAAAACAGTGCATGAAAAAAATCACCAAGATCTATATAAGAGTACTCACTACGTTCATTACTCTTAAAAGAGAAAACTATTGAAAATCAGCCTCGCGAAAATACAGAATTTTCAATTATACGTCAGAAAAGTAAAACTCATGCTTTGGTAAGTAACCCATTAAAAACAGCCAATCGAAGATTGGAAAAGAGTAATGAACGCAAGAAAACAAAAAAAACTGACTTTGTTGAAAAAATCTCAACTTTCAAATTTCAAAGAAAATAAAGATGACCTTTAAACTCTTTGAGTTTCTAGGACGGTTTATGATTGCCGCTTTTTTGATAACAATTACCCAACTTGAGAAAACTGAACTTTGAATAATCACAGGTCAAACCGCGAAAAATCAAAATTGAGCGTTAAAAAAACAAAAAAAACTCACCAATTCAATCGCAAAAAATCAAAACTGAGCGTGAACAAATTTTAAGACTTTTTCCTAAAAAACCGAAAAAAAATCAACAAGACCTATATAAGAGTCTTCACTACGTTCATTACTCTTAAAAACTGTATAAGTTAAAAATAAAAAGCTTTTTGAAAAACGATAATTTTGAAAAGTTTTTGAATTTGAAAGAAAAAAATAGATGGGCTTAAAGCTCTTTGAATTTGTGGAATAATTTAAGACGACACTTTAATGGTAAAATTAACCCAATTTGAGAAAACTGGAACAATCCGTAAAACTTTTATTTTGCTGAGAAACCTGCTAATTAACTTGCATTTTCAAAATTAGAAGTCGATCACGTTTCTCGTAATCTTTACACTTTTGCTGTTCGATATTGCAGTTTGCCTTCCTTTTAACAAAGGAAATGCACTGAAATTTTAAAAATCGCAGGTCAAACCGGTAGAACTCAAAATTGAGCGGAAAAAAAAACAAAAAAAATCACCAATTCAAATCGCAAAAAATCAAAACTGAGCCTGAAAAAAATCACCAAGATCTATATAAGAGTACTTGTTACGTTCATTACTCTTAAAAGAAAAAAACTATTGAAAATCAGCTTCGGGAAATAACAGAACTTTCAATTATACTTCAGAAAAGTAAAATTCATGCTTTGGTAAGTAACCCATTAAAAATAGGCAATCGAAGATTGGAAAAGAGTAATGAACGCAAGTAAACAAAAAAAACCAGACTTTCTTGAAAAAATCTCAACTTTCAAATTTCAAAGAAAAAAGATGCCCTTTGAGCTCTCTGAGTTTCTAGGACGATTTATGATTGCCACTTTTTTGATAACAATTACCCAACTTGAGAAAAATGGATCACAAGGTAAAGTTTTTATTGCGCTGGAAATCTAAAAAATAAAATTCCAATTTCGAAACGGTTACGTCTTTTTCGCGCAACTTCCGCGTTCTTATTTGACGTCACTTTTAGCAGATGAATTTCCATTGAACTCAAAAAGTGCATATATACCCAAGTGCATCAATATTTCATGAAATTTTCCTGAAAAAAAAAACAAAAAAAATCAGGAAGACCTACAGAAGAGTCTTCACTACGTTCATTACTCTTAAAAACTGTATAAGTTAAAAATAAAAAGCTTTTTGAAAAACGATAAATGAACTGACGGAAACTAGAGCGAAAAACAAAAATCCGGAACATTTTTTCAAATCTATTTGAAAAAATTTACTGACTGAAATGAAATCCACCTAATTACTACTTAACAATGATAGTAGCTTTATTTGAATTTTTAAGATATTGATCATGCCAGCAAACTCGTGAAGTTTACTATTCCTACTAAAATGACCAGTCTGTGAACAAAGTTATTTACAGGAAAAAAAATAGTATCCGGTTGCACCACCCTTGCTGATCGCAAGGGTAAGAAGTTTTCCTCAAGGCTGATCGCAAGGGTTTTCCAGTTTTCCCCGAAAGCAATAAGATATACTGCTTAATTACAGCTTTTTCCAATTTATCCAACAAAGCCGTTGAAGAAAATGCGTACATGCAGGCTTTTGTTTAACCGAATCCAAGGTATAGACGATATTGACATCTTAACAGAAAAAAATGACAAAGCTTGAACTTGATGAGAAGTCTGAGTCAAAACCTAACAATCAAATTTGAGCGCTACTTTCCTAGTTAAAAAACGCATAACATATAAGTGTTGCCAAAACGTTGATGGAAACTTAAAAATCCTTTCGTAAAATAGGCGTTACGTCAAAAACCACAGCCTATGTCTCAAGGCCATATATAAGTTAAGATAAACATTCGGAATAAGTCATTTACTTAGTGGCATTATTCGTAGATCCAAGAGAGTCTACAGTTCTTGCGCTGTCCGAGCTGTTAGCCTCCCTCTGCCCTGACGATACCAAAGCCATAATGTCCACCGCGGTGCCTGCCGTGGTCGAAATCATGTGCTTCAGAGGAACTGCCAGAGATCCCCAACCAACGCCTCCAATGGAGCCCGCGTCCTGGGATTGGGCGTTTTTGCACCCCACACGTGCTGACAGAATGGGAGAAGTGGGAGTTTCTGGTGCTGGAACGGGTGGGGGCGAAAGGAGATAACGAGGGGTGACAGTGCCACTTCTGGCTCTCATGGCTGCCGAAGATAGAGTCGAATGAGCCAAAGGGGAAGCATTCGAAGTTTCTATAGACTCCGAGTCGCTCTAAATCAGCAGAAGACGATCTTTAAAACGAGTGTGCAGACCGACAAATCACAATATATTGATCTCCATTTAACTGCAAGTTTTCGTAATTCACATAACATGACGAACGTGATCTTGCACCGTGAAATTGATACTCACCAGTGTGGGAAATATAGCCAAAATTGGATCTTACTGAGAGTCTTGGAGAGGGCACTGAATTGAACAAATGCTCGCATACTTTCATCCACACTTCCGACGGCACCTGAAAGAGATTAAATAAAGAGTTGGAAAAAAATATATATATATTTGCCCGATGCTAGTTGAACAGCAAAACACAGCCAACAAAAAGCTAAATATGCTTAAAACCATGATTTGGCATGAAACGATGCAGTTGTCATTAATATTAGCATGATGACCATTTGAAAGTCAATTTCGTGACGATTTTTGAAACACTCAATAAAAGCAGAAAAATTCTCAATAAAACTTAGAGAAAAATGTTCACCGGAAATGAAATATCGAGTTTACAAGATCTGGCATTGCATAGCAACAGAACTAAACCCATTTGATAAATCAAATAAATCCATCTTTTTTATCCCGCTGAAAAACCTGAAATTGAAATCCACCTTCGAACCCGAAACTGTATTTTGCGCTGTTCGCACTTTCTTCAATTGTGTAATTTGCCTTCCTTTTCGCAAATGAAACTGAATTGAGCTTCGGTCAGAAGTCAGTTCGCGGAATGATATCAGAAGTCAAATCGCAAAAAAAACATAGCCAACTGACAGTTGGAAAAAGAGTTAAGAACGCAAGGAAACTGAAAAAAAAACCGACTTGTTTTTTCAAAAATCCTCAGTTTTTGAATTTGAAAGAAAAAAATAGATGGGCTTAAAGCTCTTTGAATTTGTGGAATAATTTAAGACGACACTTTAATGGTAAAATTAACCCAATTTGAGAAAACTGGAACAATCCGTAAAACTTTTATTTTGCTGAGAAACCTGCTAATTAACTTGCATTTTCAAAATTAGAAGTCGATCACGTTTCTCGTAATCTTTACACTTTTGCTGTTCGATATTGCAGTTTGCCTTCCTTTTAACAAAGGAAATGCACTGAAATTTTAAAAATCGCAGGTCAAACCGCGAGAACTCAAAATTGAGCGTAAAAAAAACACAAAAATCACCAATTCATATCGAAAAAAAAATCAAAACAGTGCATGAAAAAAATCACCAAGATCTATATAAGAGTACTCACTACGTTCATTACTCTTAAAAGAGAAAACTATTGAAAATCAGCCTCGCGAAAATACAGAATTTTCAATTATACGTCAGAAAAGTAAAACTCATGCTTTGGTAAGTAACCCATTAAAAACAGCCAATCGAAGATTGGAAAAGAGTAATGAACGCAAGTAAACAAAAAAAACTGACTTTGTTGAAAAAATCTCAACTTTCAAATTTCAAAGAAAATAAAGATGACCTTTAAACTCTTTGAGTTTCTAGGACGGTTTATGATTGCCGCTTTTTTGATAACAATTACCCAACTTGAGAAAACTGAACTTTGAATAATCACAGGTCAAACCGCGAAAAATCAAAATTGAGCGTTAAAAAAACAAAAAAAAAACTCACCAATTCAATCGCAAAAAATCAAAACTGAGCGTGAACAAATTTTAAGACTTTTTCCTAAAAAACCGAAAAAAAATCAACAAGACCTATATAAGAGTCTTCACTACGTTCATTACTCTTAATCAAATCTGAGCAGGGGCAGGTCCAGTATTTTCTCGAGGAGGGCGGATTTTCAAAAAAAAAATGAAAATTTGTCGGCCTTTTTTTAGCTCGACCAAATTGATTTTCTGAGCTCTCCCAAATCACTAGAAAGACCCCATCTTGACCAAATTTCCAGCGCGGGAGGCAAATTAAAAACAAACAGGCCAAAAATGGTTTTTTTTAGGCACGTTTTGGAAAATGTTGACCAAAAAATCGCGTTTTTTCGGCGGGCGATCCCCCCTCAAAATTAGTATATATTGGTGACGACGGCGCCTAAAATGGATATCTCAAAATAGTACAGAGGGGGACCCTTTGGGTCGGCAGGGGGTCAAATTCCCGATGGGGGGCGTCCGCCGAATCCCCCCCCCCCCCCGAAATCCTCTACAGAATCTGAGCATGAAGTTTTTAAGAAAAAACTACACAAATAAGTGTCTTCACTTCGTTCGTTGATACTTAAAAATATCATTATTTATAATTAAGAGAAAATGTTCTTAGCAAAAACACCAAGCGCTGGAGATTTTAATTTCAGAGATGAGAATGCATCTTACTCATACCTAACTACGAATCAACCAATATAAAGACATCTAAGAAGAAAGCAACCTAATGTTTTGAGCGGAGAGTTTATTTCTTCGACTAAAAAGCTCTTCAAGAGAAAAAAGCTCTTGAAGAGTATCGCTCTGCGTTTGCCGGAGAATACACAGAATTATACGAGCTACTTTGCTCAGCAGACTCAATTTGTTTTTTCTTTTTGAAGAAGGTAAACGCCGGTTTGGTGCACCATCGATCTCGGCCACGGCGGACGTCCAAAGATCGAGAAACACTAGTCACAAATAAAGCAGAGAATAGATGCTATAAAACATCCAAAATAGTACAGAGGGGGACCCTTTGGGTCGGCAGGGGGTCAAATTCCCGATGGGGGCGTCCGCCGAATCCCCCCCCCCCCCCCGAAATCCTCTACAGAATCTGAGCATGAAGTTTTTAAGAAAAAACTACACAAATAAGTGTCTTCACTTCGTTCGTTGATACTTAAAAATATCATTATTTATAATTAAGAGAAAATGTTCTTAGCAAAAACACCAAGCGCTGGAGATTTTAATTTCAGAGATGAGAATGCATCTTACTCATACCTAACTACGAATCAACCATTCCGGCTTTATGTCCCGTATTGTTTTCACAAACGAGATATATACGACCCTATCGAAATCAGTATCTGTGACTGAGCGAAAATTTCTAATGGTTAAAATAATTATTCAATAATACTTATTCAAATGTATGAGCTCAACTAACATGCTTTGGACAGATTGCTTTTATTTAAATCAGCTTCAGATAATCAATTCTGCGCGTTAGCTAAGTTATAAGATTGTTATTAACTAACTCTTTGAGAATACTCTGTCATATTTTCGCTCAATTTCATACAGCTGCTAGAATAATGCAACCATTTAACAAATTTCTCAAGCTTGATTTTTGTCACACAAATTAGCATCGTCAGAGTAAAATAAACATTTTCAAGTCTCAAGCTCGTTTTTAAACCAAATGCGCAATTCAATGAAAAAATGTGTCGAATATTTTATGTTAACTTTTTTTTAAACTTAACTTATGCAATCAAAATTTAACTTGAAATTTAGCTCATTCAGTGTTTCTAACAATATAAAGACATCTAAGAAGCAAGCAACCTAATGTTTTGAGCGGAGAGTTTATTTCTTCGACTAAAAAGCTCTTCAAGAGAAAAAAGCTCTTGAAGAGTATCGCTCTGCGTTTGCCGGAGAATACACAGAATTATACGAGCTACTTTGCTCAGCAGACTCAATTTGTTTTTTCTTTTTGAAGAAGGTAAACGCCGGTTTGGTGCACCATCGATCTCGGCCACGGCGGACGTCCAAAGATCGAGAAACACTAGCCACAAATAAAGCAGAGAATAGATGCTATAAAACATCCAATGCTACAGATCGTGCCACCAAATGTTGCGAGTAAGGTTGGAAAACAAAATTCATTCTAATACACTACGCTTGCTAGAGTAATAATTAAAAACGCGCTTTGTTTGCTCATTAGAGTCAACACAGAGGCGAAGTTGCACTTCGCATACACAAGCAATTACATGACCGATAACGCTACTGGGAAAAACAGAATGAGTAAACTTTGAGTCAACAAAATTTCTTTAGTGACGCACGCCAATTATGACGCATTAGCAGTACCAGTCAATTCGAAAAAAAAAATGACCATGCCTCAATTATAACTAACTTGCCTCAATTTATAGAGCTTAAATATAGTAAGATATAGTATATAAAATTTCTGCAATTGAGCTTTTTATCATTGTACTGCTGTTTCAAATAACCAATTTTTTTCGATTCATTTGATGAATTAAAAATGCATCAGCTGTGTTAACTTTTTACTAATCAAATGTCAAAGCACATATGATATTATACTGCTACCGCAGCCTACCCATTAAAAAGTGCGACCAAAAAAAGCACTTTTATTTGCGCCTTAGTTGGGAAAAAAAGAAAGTTCGTACTAATACACTTTGCTTCGCAAGTGTAAAAAAAGGAAGTTCGTGCTAATCACTTGCTTCACAAGTGTAAAAATGAACTTCAAAACACGTAACCATGGGCTCTGGTAAAATTATAACGTTTTGACGTGCGATTTCGGTGAACATGAGTTTCCGTGGAGTTACATCTGGGAAGGAAGTCTAGTACCCGGTTGCAACACTCTTGATTAGAGCAAGGGTAAAAACAAACAAAAAAATGAGTTTATTTTTTCAAAAAATTCTGTATTTCTGCACAATAAACTTTAGAATTTTTACACAGAGGCGAAGTTGCACTCCGCATACACAAGCAAAATACGACCGATAGCGCTACTGGGAAAAACGTAATGAGTAAAATCTAGCACAACATGACTCAATTTATAGAGCGGACGCATTTTAGCTAGTATACGAAACGTAGCCAACCGAAGATTGGAAAAAAGTAATGAACGAAAATGAACATAAAAAAAACAAGGAATTTCTTGAAAAAAAAAATCATTTTCGAATTTCAAAGAAAAAAAACAGATGTATGCTCGTTGAATTTCTAGAACAATTACAGATTAGCGCTTTTTTGATAACATAATACATTTACGAATGCACATCTGCAGTTATTAGAGACTAAAGACTTTTCCTGAAAAAAAAAAAACAAAAAAAAATCAGCAAGACCTATATAAGAGTCTTCACTACGTTCATTACTTTTAAAAAGTTCATTAAGACATCCGACCCTGCTCAGGTTCGAACCCCCTTATTTTGTTGCAGGGTCTCCTTCCCTACCACTACGCTACAGATCCCTGATACCTTGAAGCTATAGTGCTATTTGTAATATAATAGTCTGTATTAATATCCTTAGCATTGGCTGTACTTAATAGCTGGTTTATGATTTAAATGAACAATTTCAAAATGAACACATTTTGTCGCAACAATATTTGCGACTTAGCTAGATAATAAGCATCTAAGCGTCTAAATTGTTTTTGAAAAAAAACTAAATTTCGAAATTTAAAGAAAAATGTATGCCCTCAAAGCTCTTTGAATTTCACGAACAATTTAGAATTGCAACTTTTTCAATAAAAATTACCCAATTTGAGAAAACTGGGCCAATAAATAAACTTTTCATTTGGCAGGGAAATCTGAAAATTAAATTCCACTTTCGAAACTAGAATTCGATCACGTTTTGCCTGACCTTTACACTTTGGCCGTTCGATAGTAGAGTTTGCCTTCTTTTGAACAGAAGTAATGAAGTGAAATCAAAAAATTCAAACCGCGAAAAATCAAATTTTAACTGGAACAAATTTTAACATTTAATGAAAAAAATCACCAAGACCTATATAAGAGGCGGCTTCACTACGTTCAGTACTCTTAATAGTAATACAAATTACCGTCTCTCCTTTGTAGGGTCTGATTCTGTCAAACGTTGACTCTTCAGTCTCAAGCATGGTCTGCAACTCAGCAGCCGAAATTCCCGCACCGCCCGCAGATCCCACTAGACTTCTGGGTACCTGGTACGCCACACCCACCACCACCTTTTTCTGGCTCTTCTCCAGATCAATCACATAGCCCAGTCGGTCCAGGGTGTCCATACACGTGATCAGACACAAGTCATTCACTTTCCACTACAAACAGATCGAAATTTTTTGAAACGACTACGTCTGAAATTTTCCATCGGAGACCGAGCCCGAAGTTTCTCCTTGTAGTCTCGTTAAACTGATTTGTTACGTTTTATCATTAAAATTATATAAACGCCGAATATAAACGTTCAAATTCAAACTATTTTCGACACCCATCAATGATCCGAAGGCATCGATCAACATATGCACGTTTCTTATTAAAAAAAAACATAGCCAACTGCCAGTTGGAAAAGATTAATTAATGAACGCAAGAAAACTGAAAAAACAAGTCAGTTTTTTTTCAAAAATCTTCAACATTTGAATTTCGAATAAAAAATTAGATGGCCTTTATGCTCTTTGCGTTTCTAGAACATTCATGATTGGCGCTTTTTTGATAACAAAAACCCAGCATAGGAAATCTAAAAATTAAAATTCCACTTTCGAAACGGTTACGTTTTTTCACGCAACTTCCACGTTCTTATTTGAAGAGTGCTATTTACGTCACTTTCAGCAGATGAATTTCAATTGAACTCAAAAAGTGCATATATACCTAAGTGCATCAATATTTTAAGACTTTTTCCTAATAAAAAACGAAAAAAAAAATCAGCAAGACCTATATAAGAGTCTTCACTACGTTCATTACTCTTAATCAGTATCAACATTGAACTAACCGAAGTGATGTTGTTCAGTTCGTTCCTCAGTTGTTCTTGAGCCTCATTCCACAGTTTGGAGGGAGACTGAGACGTTGATCCTACCACTGCAAGAGTGTTCGTGGCGGTAGTTACCTTTGATGCATCTCCCTTTGAAGTGCACACTGCACAGGGTGCGGTGACCACAGCGTTAGAAGCAGAGGCGGGCGTCTGAATGGCGTCCATGTACACACTGTCTGTGCAATTACTCGCTCCTTCCATCGCAGTTACCATCCTCTACAAAAAGAAAAAAATCCACTACGCGAAGAACATAAACTTCTATATCTTAAACATACGACTCATTATTTATCTCTAACTACAAAAATTCAAGATTCACAAACAGAATTCAAACCCATTAGCTCTCCATTAGCTCTGCTTATACATCTCACAAAAACAGTTTGAGAATCTGTAAATAAAAAACTTTTTTAAACATATTTTAGGAAGTCTCTACAAAGGCATTATATTTTCATCGTTATAATAATCATCTAAGCGTCAAAACCAGTTCTTTACGGCGGGCCTTTTTAAAGTATCTTTTAAATTTTCAACCTTAACTAATTTGTTACAAACGTCATTGAGAAGTTCGTCCATTGTGGCGTCATTACACAGCGAGAGAGCCCTTTGGGGGTTGTCTCTGGTGACGTTCTCTCTGTTGTCTGGCATCTTCCACTCTGTCTCAATGACCTTCACCTGCTGCTCGATGTCTTCGCACACACTCTTGAACAGCTGCTTGTCCTGCTTCAGAACATTCTAGAACAAACAATTAGAATGTTCTTGAACACATTATTCCAATGGCCAATTTACAAAAGTGGTGTCGCTGTTCGTCAATGTCTCAACTCAATAGAACCAGAAAAAATGCAAAAAAACCTATCTTATTTCTGACTTGAGGCTCCCAAAGACAGGCTGTTGTATCCTAATGGCGTTCTCCCAAAATATATACTTGTATACGAATAAATATTAACGGAGAAATAATTCTGGTAACCCTAGATTGGAAACAATTTATCATTGTAACTCAAGAGAGTGGTCACTCCTAGATACTTTCAATCGCAATATAATCATACAATAAAAACTATAGATAGACGTGACAACAGTTATTTGGATGGCTGAGATCGAAATCTTGTAATACATTAAAATGTTGAATCACTGTTTTTTAGATTTTCTTAGAAAGATCTTAAATATGATGGCTAGTTTAAGTTCAGAACTATTTTCTTTCGCATTTTTTAATTTCGGATCATTAAAGAGCAGCATAATTTACACGCGCGCATATTTCAAAACCAAACTCGGACTCATTAAATCACTTGATGCACTTGAGTGTATTTTTTTTACCTTCAGTTCGCGTCTGTATCTGCCTGCCTCGACGTACTTCATCTTGTAGGACAGTTTAGCCATGTCCAATCTCACCAACAGATCAGAAGAGAACGCCTTCTCACTCTCAACTTGCTCCTTTTTCGAATCCTGAAATCAAATCAGGAAATGAAAACATAACCAGAGTAACGTCAGAAACTGGCATTTGATTTGACATAATAAGGACCGAAAAACAACTGGTCAAAAATTTATTTTAATCTAAAAAAACTACCCCGTTCGTCTGGCCGTAATTCAAGACTAAACCCTTTTAGAAATCATAAAAACGCACATAAAAAAAACTTATTTTATCTCTATCCCACAATTAGAGGTGCGGACATCTATTACTAACAATTTGACGCTTGTAGAACTCTATATCTCGGCGCATCTTCTCTTGATTCAGATTGACCTGTTCCAGTTTCGATTGAGTGTGGTCCAAAGCAGTCTTCAACGCATACACGGGACCCGCCAGCTGATCCGGCGTGTGTTGCTTCTGGGCCGCCATGCTCTCTTCATACTCCGCTTTCAGAGTCTTCAGCTGCTGTCTCTGAGATTCCAACTCCTTCAGAAGCGACTGCGAATTCTTTTCTTCATTTTCCAATTTCAACCTGCAACAGCTGAATTGTTTATCAATTAGTTTTCAATTAAAAAATATTAAATATGCCAACCAATTCTTCCGATGTTCTATAAAATCAACATTATCTAGAAATGCCTACATAACATATTGCTCAGAAATGATAAATTAATGAAGTTGAAAATTTTAAAAGCTATGAACAACTTATTAAACTCATTGTTCACATCTTAAGAAAACACTGACCTGTACTCTTCCAAATCATTTTCTTGAATTTCCAGAAGTTTACACACATCGGAATACTCTTCGGTTTTCTCGCCCAGTTGCACTTTAATTTTCTCGTTTTCAGCCTGGAGAATGGTCAGCTCTTTCTGTAGGTCTTCCTTTTCGGCTTGGAGAACAGTTCGCTCATTGCATACCTCCCTCTTCTCGTCCTGCAGTTTTGAGGCCTGTTTAACCAGTGTCTCGTACATTTCTCCCTGTTCCAATTGGGCCGCCTTGCTGCGCTCTGAATTACAGCCATGAGAAATGTAGTTTATCTATATCATTGCCCCGTCCCAAACACTTTATAAATCTTGCAAACTTTGCCAATATTGATGTTTGTCAAGATTTGGAAAGCAACCTTGACAATCTATGAAAAAATGATACGGACTTCAAAAAATATAACCAACAGACAGTTGGAAAAAGAGTAAATGAACAAAAGGAAATATAAATATTCACTTTGCAGGAAAAAACAAACAAAAAAGAATGGCCTTAAAGTTCTTTGAAGTTCACGAACAATAAATGATTGACACTTTTTCAAAATTATCTCAATTTGATAGAACTGAATCAATAAGTAAAAATTTGATTATGCTAGGAAATCTGAAAATTAAAATCCAGTCGAAACCAGATGTTTGCTTTTCGATAGATTGCCTTCCTTTTTGCAAAAAAAAACGAGCTGAATATGAAAAAAAAGTCAAGCCGCGAAAAATCAAATTTAAGCGTGAACAAATTTTAAGACTTTTCCTGAAAGAAAACAAAAAAAAACATCTCGACCTATATAATAGAACTCTCGGCATTCATCGAAAATGTTAAATATATGAATGACATATATTTAACATATGACATATGAATGAAAATATATGAATGACTTTGAAATTCTTTGAGTTCGAACAAATTATTAAAGATAGTTGTTTGATAAAAGGCGAAGCGGAGCTTCGCATCACTTGCAACACAAAACAGACAAAAAAAAAACATTTAAAAAACGATAAAAGGAAAAATGTTTTTAAAAAAAGCTCTACCGAATACGTAATTCTCGGTAAAGTTAATTTAAGGCAAAGATGCCAGACACAGAGGCGAAGACGCAGAGGTGAATCTTAAAACACAGAGGCGAAGCTGTGCTTCGCAAATACTAGCAAGAACACAACCAAAAAGCAGCTCTATCAAGTGAAATGAGAAAAAGTAGAAATAAGCCTCGAATTAGCAAAAACTCGGCTACGTGTCGGATTCGAATCTGCAACCTGGCAAATTTGAGTGTCTCACACACTAACCAAAGAGCTACGGATGCTGAAAATCCCCAAAACTAGCAACCAATAACGCAGCTACATATGCTAATTAATTGCCAATTCGATGCTGCAAATGTAGCACCAAATACAAGAAGACACAATTTTGCATTTAATAAATTAGAAAGCATAATGCTTAAATAAGTATAAATCATGCATTTCAAAAAAATGCAAAATACATTGAGTTGGAAAACTTTTGGAATGAGCTTTTTATTATTGTACTGCAGTTTGAAACAAATAAATTTTCTCGGTTCATTTAACAAATTAAAAATGCATCAGCTGTGTTAACTTTCTAAAAAATAAAAAGTCAAGGCACATATGATATTACAATGCTACCGCAGCTTACCGAAAAGGTAATTAGCAATATAACCAAACTTATTAAAAAAAGGAAACAAAGCCGACAATCTTTGAGCAGACACACTGAGTCGAAATTTTTTTTAAAAATAATAATACAAATTTTCAAGTCCCCCTTGAAACTAATTGAACAACACTTAAAACTACAATGAGAGTTGCTTGCAGCACAGGCAAAATCCGTGATGAGGCACCAGAACCGTCAACTTGAGCAAACAAACGAAAATCACACAATTCAATTTTTATCGGAAAAAAAATTCAAATGCATACATTCTAAAAAAACCAAGCTCCAGCTTGGACTCGAACTCCTGTTCTCATGGTTCGACGGATTCAACTCTAAGCCAAGTGGGAACGAAGCTGGAAATTCTTAAGCTTCAATTAAAAAGCAAGTAAGAAAAGCAAGTACGATTTGTAAAAGTTGTTTACGGGAAAAGTCTAGTTCCCGATTACAATTGTATGGAAAATAATACAATTTGAGAAAACTGGATCAATATGTTAAGCTTTGATTCCGCTGCAAAATCCAAAAATTGAAATACTTTGGAAATTAGAAGTCGATCGCGTTTTGTTGTGATCTTTAAAATTCAGCTGTTCGATAGTCGAGTTATCCTTCTGTTGAACAAAGAGATTAAATTGAACTTGAAAAGAAATCAAAAGTCAAAGCTCGAAAAATTAAAACTGAGCATAAACAAAGTTTGAAACTTTTTCTGATAAAAAAAACACAGACAAACCATTTCGACCTATATAAGAGTCTTCACTAGTTTCATTGACTCTTAAAAAGAACTTACAAGTTCTCCAAATCGCTTACAAGTCAAATCAATTTATCAAAACTATCAATGTCAAAAATTTACTTCATACGTAACTGCATTTGATAGCCGGGAGTGGTACCATTGTAATACCATTCATTCCCGAAAAAACCTTGTCTTACCAATCTCCATTTCATAATGTGACGTTTGTTCTTTCATCTCTCTACTTTTCCGCGCCACTTCTTTTTCCAGCTTATCCACTTTCTCCCCCAAAACATCAATTTCCTCCAGCTGGCGACTCTCAGTAGCAACCAACTCCTCGTGATCTTCCAGTTGTCGCTCTAGGAGTTCAATCTTCCGTTTGCAGTCTCCAACTGCCGAGTCCTTTTCTGAGTTTGCCTTACGCAGATCTTCCCGCTCTCGACTGAGAGTTTCTATTCTCTCATTTAGCTCTTCGAACACCTGACAGGCTGCGGACTGGTTCTGACCATTATTATCGGAGTCAAGGTTCCTGAAACAAAAACAAATTTGTACAGTAGTTTCGCTTATCTTAACGCCAATTTTTGGGTTGTGCGACAAAAATTTGTAGAAAGGGTCGAAAACTTACATTGGGCTTTGGTTCTACGAACTAAATTTGACCTTGAAAAATTGATCCGACCGAATGGAAAGGAACTAAGGAACTTTGGATTTGATTGTACTTCTACGCGAGCGGTTCACTTTACTTGACAGTAACTCGCTAGTTTTGGCGTAATCTTTTATTATTTATAAAAAGCCAAAAAAAGACCGCTTTTTGAGGTTAAACACGCTAAACACGTTGTACCATATTAATTCTGCTAAAATTCTAAGCAAGTTTTGTCTTCATCGTTTTCCACCAACCCAATTTGCGAAAAACGCGTTTTAGTTTATGAGTTTAATGCCTTTTGTCCGGATAATTTAAATCAGCACTGTATATAGCTCTTAGAGCTTATGTAACGCACCCAGTTACGACAAAAAACATAAAAAGGAAAGGAAACTGAAAAAAATGTATATTTTCATCTTTGTTATTCTAGCCCAATTGCATGTAATTCTCAAATAGGAGTGCAACAGCGGTTCTCCGTGAAGATCTGAACAGTTCGTATACTGGTCCTTTCCCTTTTGCATAAATCGTCTTAACTCTTAAATCAAACTTCATTACAAATGTAACAAAGCACAACATTATGCGGAAATTGAACAGAATCGTATGATTCTTGTTACTCCGATAATTGAAAATGGGGAGCAACATTATATTCGGACATGTTTTAGTTTTTTTTTGAAATTTTTTCCGTGCAAAAAATTCCCCATTTTTTTCCTCGCAAATTCAGGGACTACTAATAATCATCGGAATGCATCGAAGGATACATCATATTGAAACCCTTCTCACTCGTGATTCGATTTTAAAAATTCGAAAAAAATTTCTCAGTGTCGAGAAAAACCGGTTTGAAACTTTTGAGCTTTAGTCGAGTGAGTAAAGCAAGTGACCGGGCTTAATAAAGAAACATATAGCATGAGATTTTAGTGCTATTTTGGGAATAAAAATCATCGAAATTTCTGCAAAAAAAAAGATTTGCCCGGTTTGCCTTTTTATACTGTGACTGCCGAAAATGCCTAAATTATATGTTTTTTTTCAGATCCTTTCATACAAACTCACAAAAACCAACACTCAGCTGGAAAAAAAACATAAAAAAGCTTTTTATGTATTTTTTAACTCACAAAAACCAACACTCAGCTGGAAAAAAAACATGAAAAAGCTTTTTATGTATTTTTTATGAGTATGGTCGGAAAATTGTGCTACTAGCAATGCAACCTGGCTATCCTTGTTCCGATAAGAAAATACTAAAGAGATGCTTACTTGAACTGGAATGGCGTGCTCGCACCTCGAATTTGCTCTTGGTGATTTATGTAGCAAAACTGGTAATAGTTCTCGCTACTTTCCTGTGGCACGAACGCAGCTAAAGCAAAACTTTCTCACATTATATTTTAATATTACTATCAATAATGTCAGGCATGAGTTTTTACAACATTTACTAGTAAAAAAAATTTATATTACTTAATAATTAATTTCATTGGTATCTTAATGACGAAAAAACCATAAAAACTTTGGCAGTGTTTCTCTGAAAAATTGAATTTTTACTTTGATTCATTTACCTGAGAAGACAATGCGATTATCAAAATCTGATCCAGCCACGTAATCATTAGGCGTAACCGACCACATATACGTTTTGTAATCTTGAGGACTGATCCATCCAAGTCGGAACAAACAAACTCGGTCTTTAGGATGCGGATACATGCCCTGGGTAACTTTGTAATGACACTCGACATTGTTTCCCGGCGCGTACGTGTCTTTCATTTCCAAGAAAATGACCTGTGAGAAGTCATTAAGTGACAAATAGTCCTGATAATTCACGATTTCGATATCTTCTTCATCTGGAGAAAAGCTTCGCCTGCTTCGATCGTCTGTTATCTCCGTCTGATTAATTGATTCATCTGCAGTCGATTCGTTTTGATTCACCTCTACATCGAATGAAGCCATTGTTTTGACGATTTACAATTTACGGTTGCTAAGAGTTGTCAACTAATCTGAAATATTTAATACTATGTTGTAATTAATTATTGGCCGAACTAAGATTAACTTATTCGTTAGGTCAAACACAAACAGCACTCGTTCAATTCAGGACTGTGCCGTAATTAGTCTAAAGATATTCATGATACAAGAATTCAGAAAATGAGTTCGTGCGGTATTCGATTCAAAACTCACGCTTACTCAATCCAGTCCAGTACTTGTTATTTAAGGTGAAGATTTTTGTGACGGTTAGGCAAGAAAAGTTGGCACATTTTGAAACCCTTAGATTCATTTGTACTTCAATATTATTGTTTTTTGTTTGGATAAAAAAATTGGAACACTATTTGGTATAAACTGTTTTATAGATTACAGTAGTGCCAAAACGCATGCTCAATTCTTCGAATTTGCCCATTTCGACTGTGTCAGGGTTTCAAGCAATTGATTTGTAAGATGTTAGCTTTAACAAACAAGAGGTGGTCTGAATATATCATATCCAACGTCTGTTGTTTTTTAAAACACGAAGGACCAAAATGTTTCAGATAAACTTTTTGCAAACTCCAGTCGCAATTTAGAGCAAAAATCTGGTCATTATTTAATGACATTGAGTCGCAATCAAGCAAAAATTGAATATAGAGAAACGATAGAAACCAAAACAATGACATGCCAGAGAACATGTAGAAACTGGAGCCTTCCACAAAAACAGTCGTATTCCGATAAGTTTAGGCTTGTATGTTTCAAATTTCCCTTTTAAATTAAGTAATTTCTGGCGACATATAGTCGTACTGTTTAAAGTCACGACAAACAAGTAACTACTTTCATGTTTTATGACTGATCATTAAGTCTCAAAATTTCAACCTTAACTCGGAATGTGACCTTTTCGAAATTCTTTTAAACTTAAATCACCCATAAATCGGTATAATGGTATTCAAAATTTGCATTTATCAGTAGCATTTTCGAGCAAAGCACCGGTCTTAGTTCAGACAGATCAATTCAGGTAGCAAACTAAAAAAAGATGGCCAGTCAATAAGCAAATGCTTTAAGAGCAGAATGGGTCAAAGAGCAGAAAAACGGAAAAACATTAATGTTTAACAACTGATCGGTAAATTAAGTATAAGAATTGACAATTACCAAAGAAACGAATATTGTATGCATCATTTGAGTAATTTAACAAAAAAATTTTAAAAAAGCAATAAAAAACATTGTAAAAGAAGTAGCACAGAATGTTCCGACCATAATCTTACAAAAAAAATAATAAAAAACGTTTTCTCAAATTGGTGTCGTATTTTCTGCATGTCACTCAGCAAAAAATTCTGAATGAAAAAATAGAACTTAGGCATATTTGAGAGTCATAGTTAAATAGGTCAGTAGAAAAACAGTTTTTGAGGAAAATTCGTCGTCGTAAGAATGCAATAACTCCAGTAAATCGGAACTGCACTAAATTTCAGGTACTTTTGTAATTCTTCTCCACTCTTTTCTGTCCTCGGCGTGTGGTAAGTTTCTGGAATGTGAATGTTCAGAAGAATGTTCAGGGAATTAATGTCTTTTTGAACTAGTGCGACCCACGATGTTTTTTGTCTATCAAGGTGGGTTTTTTGCAGGTTCAATGTACGCACTGAGAGCTTGTCGAGCAGGAGTTTTTGTGTCAAGTCTAACAACGTGTCCAAACCAGGCTAGACGTCTTCGCTTGATACGGGTGCTCCAGGGTTCTTGTTTGGTGCGTTTGTAGAGGTCTTCGTTCGTGATGATGTTAGGATGAAAGATTCGTAGGATTTTACGTACAAAGCGTCTCTGTGTGATATCAACGTCGTCAGTCAACTTTTTGGTTAGCGTCCAAAGTTCACAGTTATAAAGGAAAACACTAGAGATGAATTCGTTGAACACTCTCGGTTTGGTATTCACGGAAATTTTGTTTTTGTTGAAAATGCTTTTGCATCTCACAAAAGCTAGTGGCAAGCGTACGTCTGCGTCGAATATCTGATTCCGTGTCAAGTAATGTACCAAGGAATTTTCAGTTCTTCCAGTCGTTGCTACCCCTTGAAATGTGGAATTCTTCGGTTTTCGAGTCGTTGATAAGCAGACTACGTTCTGCGAGCTTAGTAGTGGCAAGAGTCTTGATGCGTTCAAATTCAGCTTTTAACCGGTTAATCCAGCTGAGATCATCGGCGTACTGGGAGTCAAATCCATTTTTGCTCGTGATTTCAGATGTGTTGACGTCCTTAGGACAGTTCCCGTACGGATTTGAATAACAGTGGTCTTGTTGATTAAAATCGGTTTTTTTGAATGAAATAGACGTGATCGTAGGAAACAATTTGACTCTGGATATTGTCGATATTATCAATAAGAAGGCTGCACGCAAGATAGAAAACGAAGAGAATTGCGCTAAAGCAGTCGCCTTAGGCGACTCCCACGTTTGTGATAAATGGGTCACTGAACTTTCCACGTGTTTTCACACGTACTCTGGTGTTGTCAACAAGAATAGATGTAAGGTATAAGATGTCTCCGCCCAAGACTTTGCCGAGGTCGTGAAGAAGCTTTTGGCGGTCGACATGTCAAAAGCAGCGGACATGTCGAGAAGTAGAAGGTAAACATCCTGGTCAATTATGGAGATTTCGCGTTCAATTAGGAACTTTATTGCGAAGACCTGTTCCGTCGTGCTTCTGCCAGCTTGGTATGCAGCCTGCGATTTTGGTATGTACCCCAGAATCTGGCCTATTGACAAGACAGATGGCCAGCACCTTGCGTATAGATGCCATGAGCATCAGGGGACGTAGTTTACTGGGTGGTCCACGTTTCTTCCCGCATTTTTGTATAGAGTCAGGATAGCGTCTTGGAGGTCCTCCGGGAAAGTGCCAGAAGAGGCAACGTCATTGAACGTTTTCGCCAGACATTCGGGTAAAATTATAAAAATTCGTTTGTAAAGACACGTGACCATTTGTATTCTCGTGAATCCAGAAGCGCGAAAATCAGAACAACGCCTTTCGCTAGTCGAACAAAGAACGGCGATTTATGCTGAGAGATAGAAAGTTGGGAAATGATTGTGAAGATAGGAGAGCGTTCCCGAAAGAAAGGATTGTGCTGACAAAATCGTTACCCTGCTGATTTCATCAATCGGGAAGGCCGAGATTTGGGATTGCAACCCTTCCCGGAAGAGGGGGCATATTTGGTGAAGATCAATGAATCGGAAAGGCCATGGGAAAAGACTTGAAACTCATTTTAACCAACTTTCAACTACCGGAATAGTCTTGAAAATAACATCTAATTCGTTTTCAGACAATGAGAAGCTAGGAGTTGAAGGAAAGCGTTTGCCCATCTCCGATGCATATGATGATTTTTATCTACTGAACATAAAGAAAAGTAATGAGATATATTAGGTTTTTAGGAAGGTCCTCGTGATCTGAGGATATTGAGACCCAGCCATGAGCTCACTTTTTTTGCTTATAACTAAGTTAAATTGCGCGATCTGGCCGATAGTCTTAAATAGTAACGACTTTTTCGACCCGATGTCAACTGACCACACATTTAACTGGCTTTGGTAGAGACGGTTAAAAGCATGTGAAGCTGTGTTTAGACATAGCCAGTCGTTTTAGAACCTAGCTTTTTTTCCTGTCGGTATGCACTTCCGGGCGACTGTTACATAAGACCAAAAATCAAAATTTTTAAACCGGTTTTTCTCAACATTGTGAAAAGTTTTCGCACAATTTGCGCATTGCGACTGAAAAGGCTTTGAAAAATATATAACATAACCCTGTCCGTTGATTATTCATGGTAGTCCATTTTGAGTGAAAAGCAAAAAAAAAACTAAAACACATCCGAATTCAAAGTTCCTCCTCATTTTATGCAAAATTCGTTCATTTTCGTGTTATCATTGACGAGTTTAATAAACGTTTTTATCAGTTAGCCCTTATAGACCAAAAAAGTTAATCTGTTTTTGTTTTTCTGCATTTGGACCAGTCTGCTTGATGCTCGACCTCCCAAAAAAACTTGGATAAACTAATATGTTTCACGATAAGCCTGAATGTTTTGCAAAAATGTCTAAGCTATCAATGAATCCAGCATTCAATCATTTCATATGCTCATTCTGGATTTGAAACCGTAATCAATCCATTCTCTCTTTGTCAGTAAATACTAGTTTAATTTTTGTGATTAACTTATTGAATTGCACCGAAATCATGCGGCCAAGACGCTGACAATTAGAACAGAGATATGAACTCGCGGATCGCTGTACACATTTATTTTGATGTAAGTGATAACTTTTTGATTCTCTGCTCCATTTCATACTCTACGTTCTACTAATACTACACTTGGTTTAGGGCTTCAATTTTTGATTTCAAAGCTGAATCCCCTTTTTAACTTGTACATTGGGTACAGCTGCAAGGGCTCACTTGGGTGTCCACTGTCTGAAAAGCCTCCATCCTGCTCGACGGGTGTTATGAAGGCTATAGGGACATGGCACAGTTAGTAGAAGCAGTAACCGTAAAGTGAACATGTTCAAGAAAGTTAAGTGAACGGGCTACGAGGCTCTACGGATTGCGAGTTTTAGGTTCAATTTTATTTGGGCAAAAAGTTCTGGCAGGAACATACTTGATTTTACCGATTCAAACATGTTTGGATGACAGCTCACGAATACAAAAAGGATGTGTAAGGGCAGGGTTGTCATTGGCAGCCCTCTGTTATAAGCGTTAAAACTGAATTTTGTTCATTTAGTTTTTTTGTTTCCATTTCATTTATTTTCCCGTCAAAAATTTATTTTTCCTAATTGAGAGGACACCGGAAGGAACAGCAATACACGTCCTGTAGTACCCGAGACACTGACATAAACATTTTGTGCCACAATCAATAAACATTCCTCATCGAATATCATTCCAGCATAAATTGTACACTTTCAGTATTTCTCTATACTTTATACCGATGGTTATTTTTTCCTAATTGAGTGATTCAATTTTTCCCAAGCTGCATGATTTACGTTACTCAAGAAAAAACGTTACTCAATTGGTTTGATGATTGTTTTTTGAACAGTTTTTTCTTTGCTAAACTTTCAACATAGACTCTGTGATTATATTTTGTCAGATGTTTTCAATAAAACTGCCGCTAATA